CTGACTCTACTACTGCACACAATTTTGCACCGGGCAGCAATTTCCTACAGATTCTTTTGCCTCAGCATAGTGAGAACTTCTGTTCAAGATATGATGGTTCTTCTGTTTACAATCCTCCTTACTGAGAACCATCTTAGAACACTAAATAGCATCTTCCATCTTCGTTGAGCTTTATCTGGGGGAACAATTGCACTACGAGCAAGAAAGCTGTTGACAGCACACTGTAGATCAGGTGATGGTGCAAAATTTGGACTGGGTAGGGAATACTCAGTGTCAAAGAAAGGCAGATGATCACCCTCACAAAATGGTGGAGTTATAGAATCAGTATCAGCCATCAAGGAGTCGGTGTCTTGGCTGGTAAAATTTAACGGTTGGTCAAACCTAACATCCATGTTGTCCATACCATGCAAGACAAAATCATCCAAGCTGCTGAAACCAGCAATTGAACAGAAGGATGGCATGATATCAGGTGTTGATGCACTTAAATGCTGATAGTCGGTTCTGCTAACCTTCTGGGAAGTTAAAACATTGTCATTGGCATCTGAATTGCCCATCATGGATGAGTTTGAGGAGAATTGAACAGCGGAAATTTGCATAACCCAATCCATAAGAGAGGACTCATCCTCAAAAGAGACTACTTCTTCCCAGTGTCTGAATGCACAAATCACCAAATTACGAGCATCATCCTGAAAAGAAAAAGGAATAGGAGTCATTGTGTAATCTATTAGGAGCAATGGCAACTATAAATACATCAAAAAATACAAGCCTTGGTACGCGAGGAAACAAAAAGAGCAATAAACCATATATTCTTATTTATTAAAGGTACATGCCTTTTGAGTTTCGGACAACTTATCAGCAGAAACAAACTGACAGTCTGGAAGAAGCCCCATCACTTGTCCAACGATGTTAAAAACCACGCCAGTTTTTTGTACAGATCCAGATGAGTAGTACAAGTACACTTTCTTGTCAAGTAAGCATGTTCGAGCATGTTCTACCGTGACTTCCCACATTTTGGTGGACATACCTGTCCCAAGAACCTGCAAGATTTCACAGGAAAAGGATTTAAAAGATTTGTCAATCTTGTTGAAAACACAAGAGAACCATCAATGTTTTATCTAGATTTATCAAACTTCTGAATTGCGATGTCAACAAGGTGTAACCAGGCTAAATTCTGTTGTCGAACTCCTAAAATGATTACAGAGGATGCTCAAAGAAGATGCTAATCCACTAAGTATATCAATTAACTTGAAAACACACAACAACGGGAAACAAAGATAGGAAAAATAATACTCTCTCCGGTCCACAATAAGTGACCAATTTACATTTTTATTTTGGTCCAAAATAAGTGTCCATTTACATAATCAAGAATTAATTAATTTTATTTTTCCAAAATTTGCCCTTATTTACATATTCCAATGTGTCAAGGTAACAAATTATTAAGGTTAATTTAGTGAATACATCTTTTTTTCTCTAGGAGTTCGTATTTCCTTAATGGATGTGCCAAACGTAAAATGGTCACTTATTGTGGACCGGAGGGAGTAACAAGCATAACCAAGAAAAACAAAGGTTGCCAAAGAATCACAAACATTAGGAAATATGTCCATCATTATCATTTATCACAGTCATGCTTGTTACTATTCAACAAGGAAAAAAATAGCTGTATCATTTTAAGCAACATGTATACTAAATCCATTTATCTATGTAAGACAATTGCAGTAGAACTCACATTCCGAAGCCTTGTAGGATCTAGATAGAGGAGAGTCAGAAAATCTTTCACTGTGTTGACTCTTTCCTTGCTCAAACGTCGATGGAAAGCTCCTTCCTTGCCAATCTTTTCCAGTCTCCATACTTCATCTGAAAGAGATGGAGGATGGTGCTTCTTGTACACTGCAAATAAAGCAGGATGTTAGATAGTGTCATGTTGCATATTTGACTTGAGAATTATTCGAAGACTTTCCACCACAATCTCCTTCATTGTGTTTTCCCAGTATCGACTATAATTCTCTCTGAGATGCAAGTTATGCACAGCTCATTACCATGTTAATCCTCAAGAAACCGACCAAAGCATTAAGTTCAGTAAAAATGAGTTTTAAGTTGGTTTTCGTTTCTAAATATGTTGCTTCATTATACAGTTTGATTAACAGTTTCAAAAATCCACCTACCTAAAATAATTCCAATATGGTGTTTAAATCATACAAAAGATGAGTTGGAGGTTTTGTTCTCCATTTGAGATGGAAGAGGAGTCAACCCTTTCAGTGTCTTCTTCTGTCATATTTCCCTTTTTCGTTCTGCCTAAGGCTTTCGTAGAGAACTTTTATCTGCCTACTCGTTGGTTCTTTCAATAGCAACTTTATATCCTTATACTACAGTAGCCGCTTTCTCTATCATTAACCGGTGTACAAATGTCAACTTTCCTACTCTCCAATGGGTGTTGTTTAAGTTTAAGACAAATTGAAAAGGTCACATGAGATCACCTCCTGCCACAAGGCTTCTGTATTCGACTTAGCTTTTTCTTTAAAACCACAAACTCTAGGTGAGTTACATGAGGGAAAAGAAACAAAATCTAATACTTGAGCACTCACTAGCCAGCTCGGTATCATTTGTAAATCTAACAATTTCCAGAGACAAACTTGTGGGAAGTGTAGTTAACGAACAAGGAATTATTAAATAGGGCATAAAAAGATGGTTGATGTCGAACAATGGTAAGAATAGACATTGCTGGTAACATAGCATTTCTCATTTAAGGTATAAAATCCCAAGATGAAGCATCAAATAAACATATCCCAGACAGATAGCAAAACAACATTTTCATTACCATACCTTGTATAAGCTACCTTGTAAATTAAATAGTTTCCTAAAAGAACTTACTACTATTTTACTTCTTTTTCACTCATATAAACGTAGTGCTTTATTCCTGTGTGTCAATATCTCTACATTATCTGCACTAATTTATTAACGTAGTGCTTTATTATTCACAAACATAACACGATATCATCTACTCCCCCGCCCCAATTTATATTGACCCATTTTCTCTTTGAAGCATCCCGAGATGTTAAACACTTTCTACAAATATTCTCTAACACACTCTTCCCTTCAAGAACTCAAAACAATTTAATTTTTAAACGATGATGGGAAGTTTCACCTATTACACTACACATTTTTGCTTCTAATCAGACTATTGGAAATTAATTTTTTTTTTGCTTCTAATCAGACATTCAAGCATGTTTTGTGCCAATATCATATCCCCAAATTGCTGGTATATGCTAGTGACCGCTCTTACAACTTAAGTTATGGTGAATAAAAAGATGCTTATTCCTATTGTCTGTCACTTAGAATCAAAAGTTCAGCATATTGCTAAGTACACAACACAAGATTATAAAATATCAATGAGCAATCTGTTCCACACCAGTAGACTTGATTATTCAGCAAATCAATTGCTTTGAATTCATAATGATAATTATAATCTTAATTGATAAAACCTAAAGACAGGTACTACAGAGATTATCCACAATAGAGATTAATGTCAAACTTGATACACCCTAGGAAGCCTTCAATAGAAAGCAGATTGCTGATGGGAAAAGGACACTATCTAACACCTTTCAAGTCAAGTACTCGTCTATAATGGAATTTAGTGTTAGAGTTCACAACTTTTGAAAAGAAAAATCTGTCATTTAATACATCTAACAGCATCGTAGAAAGAAATAAGATATCAGGAACTCACACTCTCCGCGGTGATCCCTGACAATGAAGGATTCCGTCTTTGCCTCTTGCACACTGATTCCTTCAAAGCTATCAGCAAGCCTCGCCCCTAGCCTGAATTTACGGCTTCTTGTCCAGCTTGAGTTATCAGTAAATGAAATATCACTCACCCAACCAATGCCCTCTTTGAGATACAAAAATGCATCCCCAGTAAGGAGAGGTTTCTTTCCTTCCCTTTCTCTCACAATGTTATTCTTGAATTCTTCTGCAGTCCAATTGTCCCCATCATCCCCATCAAAATCTCCCTCGAGTACTACTATTTCGACTTTTGCACAGGATTCAGGACCACTAGAGACAACTTGCCCAGTATGAGCATCGACCAGGGCTACTTTCAAACTAGATTCCTCTCCTTCTATGCGAGTTCCAGTAAATACCGGGGGAGAGATGACATCTAAAAACTTCAGCTTCAGGCTTCTAAGTTCACAAGCATATACATCTTTCCCACAATTCCTAAAGTGCAAATACGGAAACAAAAATTGAAAGCTTAAGTCATAATATGAAAGCATGAAAAGCATGTAGTGCTTGATTGATGGAGCCCAATTGCATACCGTTTAATGGTAGTCACGTACTTCCTGAGAGCCAACTCAACTTCCTCTTTTACCTGTAAGCTCAAGATAAAATATATTCATCTCCCGATGAGCCTAATTTAAGACAGTTAAAGAGAACCACAAAATGACAAAATTGATCATAAAATAAAGCATTAGTTAATAGTTCTCGCTTCATCCCAATTAAATGTCCCTGAGTGATTGTGCAAGGGTATGAATATAGGATATAATCTCTGATTTTTCAACTTTAATTTTTAAAAAAGAATTAAACATGTGCACCACATAACTGCCTAAAGTCGATGAGCTTTGGCAATTAATAGTGACAAGAAATTAGAACGAGGATAAAAGCTAGCTACGATAACCAGGGATTACTATCTGCTGAATTCCTGCTAATGAACTAAGCATTTTTCATCACAAAATATTTATGATATGCAAGACTAAGAAAAGTGGAAAGTACATGCTACTACCAATTTTATAAAAAAAGGTAAGAAAATGTGCCATTCTACGAAAGTAAATGACCAAGTCATCAGATTCCCAAACTTTTAAAAAAGTGTACTTTAATTGTTCGTTTCAAAACTCAAACACAAAAAACTTTATCATCGGACACGGGCACACTTGCAA